CCTCCCACTAGTATCAGTGATGGGGCACTATTCCTCCCACTAGTATCAGTGATAGGGCACTATTCCTCCCACTATTATCAGTGATAGGGCACTATTCAGTGATGGGGCACTATTCCTCCTACTTATCAGTGATGGGGCACTATTCCTCCCACTATTATCAGTGATGGGGCACTATTCCTCTGACTATTATCAGTGATGGGGCACTATTCCTCCCACTAGTATCAGTGAGGGGGCACTATTCCTCCGACTATTATCAGTGATGGGGCACTATTCCTCCCACTATTATCAGTGATGGGGCACTATTCCTCCCCTAGTATCAGTGATGGGGCACTATTCCTCCCACTAGTATCAGTGATGGGGCACTATTCCTCCCCATAGTATCAGTGATGGGGCACTATTCCTCCCACAAGTATCAGTGATGGGGCACTATTCCTCCCCATAGTATCAGTGATGGGGCACTATTCCTCCCACTAGTATCAGTGATGGGGCACTATTCCTCCAACTATTATCAGTGATGGGGCACTATTCCTCTGACTATTATCAGTGATGGGGCACTATTCCTCTGACTATTATCAGTGATGGGGGCACTATTCCTCCCACTAGTATCAGTGATGGGGTACTATTCCTCCCACTAGTATCAGTGAGGGGGCACTATTCCTCCCACTAGTATCAGTGATGGGGCACTATTCCTCCCACTATTATCAGTGATGGGGCACTATTCCTCCCCCTAGTATCAGTGATGGGGCACTATTCCTCCCCCTAGTATTAGTGATGGGGCACTATTCCTCCCCCTAGTATCAATGATGGGGCACTATTCCTCCCCCTAGTATCAATGATGGGGCACTATTCCTCCCCCTAGTATCAGTGATGGGGCACTATTCCTCCCCATAGTATCAGTGATGGGGCACTATTCCTCCCCCTAGTATCAATGATGGGGCACTATTCCTCCCACTAGTATCAATGATGGGGCACTATTGCTCCCACTGACACCAGCAATGAGGCACTATTCCTCCACAAATACCAATGATGGGGCACTATTCCTCATCCAACTGATCACCAACCATGAGGTCATGTTTATTCTCATTGATGCTGGGCCTGGAACATTTTCTAGCGCACGGGCCACAATCTGGCCCCCCTGAAGTCTGAAGGTCAGTAAACTGGCCCTTTGAAATGCTTGGAGACCCCTGTTCTAGAGCAAATTGAATCACACTTTTTGCCTTAGCTCTAGCACTGTTCTCAAGCTCTGGACTGTGGGTGTACATCACATACAATGTATGGTTATTATTAACACTGCATAGTATGGAAGGAGGCAAACAAGCAACCATGGTCTGAAGCTGCTTAGAGAGGATGCTGCTGGGGACCAGTAATTTGGATTGAGGAAGTCATATACAATACCTTAACCCTGCACCCCTAAACTAAACAAGCATTTAAATCTTGCTGTGTGGGTAGGCGACCCACTGTAAGGGTAGCTTTTTCTCATTCCCAGGGTTCAGCATTAAAGCAGAACTAAACCCTCCTTTTCTTTTTTGGCCAAGGAAGCTGCCATCTTACCCTCTGTTTGATCTGCAACTGCCATGGTGCTGCACATGTGATGAGTTATGACACCAGCCATTTGATAGTTTGTCAGTTTTGTTGAAGGCACAAGCACGTGTCAGCATTCCCGTTTTTTTTAAACTGTTAAATCGATGTGTTTAGTTCTGCTTTAACTATATACATTTAGTAATGCAATGGTTTAGATTGGATCAACAGACTATGTTGACCCACAACCACCAGAGAGGTCTGTGCTGTCCCAAATAAATGAAAATGGAACTAAGCCCTCCTGAACTTTACAGCTAAAGAAGCTGCTATCTTAGCCTCTATTTGATCTGCAGTTGCTATGCTGCTACACATGTGATCAGTTGTGACAACAGCCATCTGATGACTTGACAGTTCGCACAAGAGAACAAGCAGCTGTGACATTTATTATTCACGGCAGGCCTTGACTGTAACCATTTTGGGAAATCAATAAATCGATGCGTTTAGTCCCACTTTAGGATCTTTTTTTCAAATGTGGATTGAATCTGAAAAATCGCTGTTGCAAAAACTGGAATTTTTAGCCAAGTCCAATGAAATTTGAAAATTTTAGTCACATGACTTCAATAAAAATCTGTATCCTTGTCTTGTAAATTGGGCCTGTAAAGCTGAATTCACAAAGCCAAAACAACAGAATAAGGATCCTTATTTTTTTTAAAAAAGAACAGTTATGAGATATTTAAAATTACAATCACACTGAAGGAGATCCTTATCCTTCTGTAAAGCATTGCTAATGCAGCCTTTTTCCTGTCCCACTGTGTCTTGAAAGGCCTTGTGCTATTCTTCTGTTTCAGAGACCTTGCCTTGATCTGCTCTTTCATGCTATAAACACCTTTTTCTTGCCCCTCCATAGCAGAAAACCTTGTCTTGTTCCTCCGCATCAGAAGATCTTGTTCTGGTTCCTTATATCAGGTTGCTCAGTTTGAAGGCAGCCATATACATTACAAGATGGTCAATTATGCAGACATGATATGGTTGCCTTTAGGACTTTATATTCCTAAACATAGACAATTAAGTAGTTAAACCATTTGTGTTCAGCCTATGAGCAGGTGCAGGGGATGAACCCTCCGACATGGGTTATTAGGGGAAAACAGGAGTGATTAGATAACGTTTTTCGCATAAATGGTGTCTGCTAGTGCCTATAGACCAGGGGTCCCCAAACTTTCTAAATCAAGGGCCAATTTACTGTCCTTCAAACTTTAGGGGCCTTACTGTGTCCAGTGCCCCATCATTGGTGTCAGTGGGAGATATAGTGCTCCATGATTGGTATCAGTGGGAGGAATAGTCCCCCATCATTGGTATCAGTGGGAGGAATAGTGCCCCATCATTGGTATCAGTGGGAGGAACAGTGACCCATCTTTGGTATCAGTGGGAGGAATAGTGACCCATCATTGGTGTCAGTGGGAGGAATAGTGCCCCATCATTGGTGTCAGTGGGAGGAATAGTGGCCCATCATTGGTATCAGTGGGAGGAATAGTGACCCATCTTTGGTATCAGTGGGAGGAATAGTGCCCCATCATTGGTGTCAATGGGAGGAATAGTGCCCCATCATTGGTGTCAGTGGGAGGAATAGTGCCCCATCATTAGTATCAGTGGGAGGAATAGTGCCCCATCATTGGTATCAGCGGGAGGAATAGTGACCCATCTTTGGTATCAGTGGGAGGAATAGTGCCCCATCATTGGTGTCAGTGGGAGATATAGTGCCTCATGATTGGTATCAGTGGGAGGAATAGTGTCCCATCATTGGTATCAGTGGGAGGAATAGTGCCCCATCATTGGTATCAGTGGGAGGAATAGTGACCCATCTTTGGTATCAGTGGGAGGAATAGTGCCCCATCATTGGTATCAGTGGGAGGAATAGTGCCCCATTATTGGTATCAGTGGGAGGAATAGTGCCCCATGATTGGTATCAGTGGTAGGAATAGTGACCCATCTTTGGTATCAGTGGGAGGAATAGTGACCCATCTTTGGTATCAGTGAGAGGAATAGTGACCCATCTTTGGTATCAGTGAGAGGAATAGTGCCCCATCATAGGTGTCAGTAGGTGGAATAGTGCCCCATTGTTGGTGTCAGTGGCAGGAATAATGCCTCAAAGGCTAGACAAAGGCAAGCAAAATGCCGCATCCAGCCCCCAGCTGGAGTTTGGAGACCACTGCCATAGACTGTTACAGAATCCCAAATATTTGTATATGCATAGTCAAGGGCATATCCCATCCTGTCCATCTGCAGTGTGCGTGTTAAAGGTATTCACAGGATCGCTACTAGGCCTTCCATGATTTCCAAGGTTCTTAGGATTTTCAGTACTCACAGGATCCATGCAGGGTTTTCATGGACTTCCAAAAATTCCTGAAACAATGCTGGGCATGTCCTCTTGAGGAATATTAAGCATTAGCCTTTGAAGTGGTTGGTGCTGTGTCTTTTCACCAGATACCTGAGAGCAAAAGCACTATAATACTTACCTGTCATCAGGGGTGGACTGACAACTCATGGGGCAATAGGAGATCATGGGGCCCCTGTGTCCTTGCCCAAACTCAAAAAAGCCTATGAAAAAGGTACCAGGGGCATCTCATGGGGCCCCCTACTGACCCCAGGCCCTCGGGCAGTGCCCGAGTGTCCAAATGGTCAGTCCGCCCCTGCCTGTCATTTGCCTGTTTGTTGCTGACCTAGAATGACTTGAATTCTTGCTTGCCGCCTGCTTAGACCTATGTTTGGACTTGATTATGCTCTTGCCTGGTGCCTGCCTCAACCTCTGCCTGGACCTGATTACTTTTTTGCCTAGTGCCTACCTTAACCTCTGCCTGCATATGACTACTGTACTCGTTTGTCTACAGCTCTGTGACCATTCTCCATATTGTGGCCTTTCAATTCCATTGGTAAGGCAATCATGATAGCCACAACCTGGTGTCCATTCACAGTATAGGAAATTGGGCCTCCAGGGCTTCCAGCCCATCTCCAACATCTGAAACTTTTTTGAAGTCTAACTGTCACTTTGTGCCTTGGGTGTGTCCACATCACCTGTCAGGGTTCACCATAACATAGATATTAGATTTTCTTCTGACGCCGGTGGATTTAGATACAGTCATCTTATGTCTACGGGCACTTTAACTTGTTACATCTGCTGCAACTGATCAGTGTGTATTTCCTTTTGGTCTAAAAAGAAAAAAGCATTGGTTACCCAGGGGTAAAGCAGACTGCCTGAGCCAGTCATTCCCCTAGATACAATTACACATGGGCATCTGAGAAATGTTTACTTACCATGGCAACTTCATACCAAGCACTGGTGTGATGTGTTTTTATTTTTACCATATATTAGGAAAAATATCGCTCATTCAATCACTAGCATTTATTGTAGAAAATATACTTTTCTGTGACATAAAAATCCTCAACATGACCACCCAATATTACCAAATTGAAAGTCCAAGGGATCATTACACGAGGAGGCTGCGGTTAAAGTCATAGGCCACTTTCAGCCTTGTTTTCCCGCTGGGTTGGGACCAATGCTGGAACAGGGACTGGAGATGGTGGGAAGGGCTAAATCCAGTAACATGGACAGATACGGAGGCCACCTGAAGAGAAAGAAGCAGTCATATAATAATATGCAGTTGCTTCTAAACCTGATCATAAAAACAAAATGGCAGTTCTATCCTTTTAATGCAGATTCTTTTTAAACATTAAAAATGCACTGATAAAAAGGATTCACTTGGTTACAACTAACTACAGACTGATTGGGATGAGCTCCAAGTTCACCGCCACCATGGATTTGAGGTGAACCATGCGTGTTGATTTGTTTGTGGTCCTGGTGAGGAATGAGGACATTTGCCATACCAGGTCCTTTGTAGCCATAATGCATTGCCTGGCCTTGACCTTGGGACAGCTGGCTTAGAAAAGCCAATAAGGGGGCTTTTGGATAAGCCAGTCCCCTTACTAATAAAGGGGTTAGGTCACTACAGCCATGTTAACAATGTGTTTTAGCTATAATAGGGAAGGCATAGGAATTGCTGCAAACAAACTGCACATGGAAAGATTAGAGAGGGCTTGTAGGCACTTGCAGGTTTGTAAAAGTAGATGTTAACTCTTACTTAATGTTATGTAGGTGGTGGTGTATTTAGGTTTTGTGCTGCCCTAGGCAACACAAAAATCAGATGTCCCCCCTCCCCGGCGAAGAGAGCCTGACACCGGCGAAGAGAGCCTGACACCGACTAACACCAGACCCCTCCACCCACAGAGAGAGCCTGACAATGACCAACAACACTCCTGCCCCATCCCCACCCCCACCCAAGAGAGCCTTCCACTAATAACCCCCCCCCCTGTGCCGGGGACAGAGAGAAAGACACTCACCTTCACAGCTCTGGACATCCATGGGAACGACAGCTGGGCATTGCATACACCATACACCCCTAAAACATGCTGCCCTAGGCAAATGCGTTCTTTGCCTTGTGGTAAATATGCTCTGCATGTAGGTATCAAAATGCTATATGTCTTAGAGAGCGGGGGAGGGGGGGAGGGGTGGTGGAGGGAAGTAAAAATGTTTTTACCTTTTTTCATCCTTAGCTGCATCTTAATGCTACTGATGTCCAGCATCCACTTTACAGCCTGTCCTTATCCGCATGCACTACAGTGATAACAGGCTGCAAGAGTTTTTTCATAGGACATATTTCCTATTTGTTGCTGGCTGCAATTCTATTTTTCAGAGGCCTTGAGGGGTCTTGAGGGGAGAGGGTGGTCAGGTGCAATAGCCAACTAGTCTTTACCTGGGACTGCTTGACTGCAAGCTCTCGGGACCCCCTTGCTCAGGGATACAGTCAGCACAGCAGGGCGAAGAGCAGGATTAATCTGGGGTCTGAGGAGGTACACCAGAAAGGGACAGCGCTTTACTTTTTTGCCAGTTCACCCTTTTTGCACATAGCTGCTAAGAAGTTCATCTTCACGTTCTACAGTTTCTTGGGCATCCCATATACCCCTAGACCCCATCCAAGCTGTTAACCCCTTAGTAAAAACAACTAAAATCCAGCTTAAGGACTGTTTTACTGACTCTGGAAGTACATGTGTGGAAAGTGCGTGTTGCCTGCCTGTGCAGGGCTTCGGGGGACCCAATCAAATCTAGCAGCCCTTACGAGTGTAGTGCTACACATATAACAAATATAACGTGGAGTTATTCAAATTTTGCTGCAAAATTGGAAAGCATTTTAGGGACAAATATCTGTAAGCCACAATTGAATGATAGCTAGCTCTTCCATTTTCAACACCCTATCTGCTTTTTATTTTACTATCAATTGTAGTCTTTTCCCTTAATTTTCCCAGTCTTGGCTACCGACATGGGGAGTTGGATCAGACCCGGATTGCGGCTCCCTTTCCAAGTATTATACATCACCTGCAGTGGTACTGACATCTGAGGCTGCTGCAGCGCTTCGTCCGGGTCCAATCCATCTTCCCATGCTGGTGGCAAATGCTGGGTGTTCACTTCCACTGATTGATGGTTTTCTGCTGCTTATCATGTACATGCCAACCTGCCCCTCCACTTTTTTGAGTGCATATTTATTCATTTAATAAACTTACATGTTTTTTAATACTGCACTAAGGAGTTCCCATGCTTTGTCTTTTCTCTTCTAACTGGATCTGGGGGGAGCTGACTTCTAATAAAACAAAACCGGACCTGGTTCACATGGGACCACCAAACACCCATGCTGATGTTACTGATAAAATCAATACATTTATTTTATATATGTTTAACTAAGAAAAGGCCAAATACCTTTCCCTGTTATTCTTGGTATTGCTGCCAATAATTCCACCTCCTGGAACCTCTTCCCCTTCTCATTCTCCTTCTTCCCTCTGGCAAAACATCAGTTGACCTCACAAATCCAAAAAAACAGCTGAAGCTATCAATTTTATGGAAGAGAACTCTCTGTTCCTTCTGTCTCAGTATTTGGCCCTCTTCTCACTGCCTTGTGTCTCTACGTTTAGACCTATGCTTGTTGTTTTTAAATTGTGGTACCAGTGGCCATTTTGCTTTTCATCCTGGTGCAAGCCAATATTTACTAAAGCATGCCAAACAGCTATAGCCATGATGTTTGTGAAAAATTGGGTGTATGGGGATGCGTCAGGAGGTTGCAATAAACTTAGGGTGACGGACAAAGGTGGTTTGGGTGCACGGTACTTTTAGATTTTTTTCTTTTTCAGAGGATGCAGAGAGGTGCTGCAAACACTACACTATGGAGCAGGGGCGGACTGACAACTCATGACGCCCCCGGGCAATAGGGGATCATGGGGCCCTGTGTCCTTGCCCAAACTCAAAAAAGCCTATGAAAAAGGTACAGGGGCATCTCATGTTGCCCCCTACTGACCCCAGGCCCTTGGGCAGTGCCCGAGTCTCCAAATGGTCAGTCCGCCCCTGCTATGGCGTGTCTGCACCATCTTTTCTCTTTTAGTCGTTTCCTGAATATAAAGCCCCCTCCTGGTTTCTTGGCAGAAACTGCACTTGTAGTTCTTTTGCAAGCTGCAATTTCTAACATGCTTCAGAGACCTCTTCCCTTCGTTTCAAGAGGCACGGCAGCCCATTCAAATGAATAGGCTGCTGTACCCATGCAAAATGTGGTTTACAGGCCTGCATATGTGTGAACCTAGCCTGAAACAAGATGATTGAATCTGCAGCTGCTGATCCATTTATTCTTTCCCCATTCACAAGTACTCGTCTCCTTCTTTCCCATGCTGTAAGGAGAAGGGAAGGGATCAACACTGTAAATGGTACCATGTGATTGCTGTAATGACCAATCACAGCGATCAAATGGTACTCAGCCCCCTGGATCAGCTTGGTAGAGTGTCTCTGTGTACCCAGTTGTCTAATGATAGCTCAGCACATAGCGATTACCCAGCAGATTGGCCACCCTACAGCTAAGTATCCAGCACCATTCATAAACGGCATTGGGCAAATAAAGGGCTGCCTATCTGCTTTCAAAAGACGTAAATCGGTAGAAAAGTGGTTAAAAAAAAACAAATTGAAAAAATCCAGATTAGAAGTATTAAGCAGCATTTACCTTCATTAGTTTTAGCTCTCGTCCCAGTCCTGTGCTCATTTTATGTGGCTGGATTCTCTGTTTAGGAGCTGGAGAGGAACGAGTTCTGTTTGGTGGGATCTGTGCAAAATAAAACCTGACAAAGGTTAAAATCTGAAGAAATCAAACTACAGAATATATCACATACTGCATCTAAGAAAGAATATTATGTTCACAAACAATAATGCAAAATACAACATTTTGCGTATACTGTAGATATTGTTAAGCAAAACTAAAAGTTCATTTTAAATGAGAACTTCACACAAAAAAGCTCCAAACACTGACCTATAGAGCTTTAAAGCTCTACTCCATGAATTATCTTGGTTTCATATTTACATTGGTCCAGCTTGGCACAAAAGAATGCATTACGCATACCTGATGGGCCTTTGATGGAAATCACTGTAGTGGTGAGTGCTACTACAGTGATAGCCGGGAACTGCTCAGTTTCTGTTCAAGCGGCTTTCCCTCTGCACACCGACCATAGGAGGTCTTTCAGCACTCACTTGGCACATTCAACAAAGGTGTTCTCTGAATGAGAGAGGTGGAGATCATAACATCATTGCCCTTCCTCTTCACCTTCCATCTACAATCACAGAATGCCATGTACTCATTCAAACAAATGCAAGAGATTCCATAAACAGCGGCATTGCCAACCAAGCAACCCCCTGTGGTCAGTGTGCAGTGGGCAGCCACTGGAATAAATTCTTGGTAGGACCCAGAGGATTGCAGTACTCACTATAGTAGGGCTGACTTCTACAGTGTTTTTCTGCTTCACCAATGTCCTATCAGGTATGAGATATGCATATTTACACTGTGCCCATCCAGACCAATGTAAGTATGCAATGAAAAATAATTCCCGGAGCTCAATTCTAATGGCACAGGTGTAGGGAATTACATATTAAAGTCTGTGTGGATCCAGGAACATTTGCCTTTCCAGATTCACCTAGAACTAGCTCACACTCTCCAAATCTCACCAGAAAACATTCCTGTGAGTTATAAACTAGCAAATGTGAAGGTTATCATTGCTAAACATGGTAAATATCTGCAAAAGGTAAGTAATAGATTGCAACGGATATGTGCCAAATGTGTAGTGTTTTCTGTAATCTAGGTAGGACCCGGTTATTTTCATTGAATAGGAAATAACAGGGTTTGCCTAGATGACAAGCACACAAAATAGACCTCATATTATTACTACTTGTGGTAAATTCTTCACATAGTTCTATGAATAATCTTTGAAGACAGCCTTCTCAACGGTATTACCCCAACGGAACCTCTGCAAAAATACATCTCAGGGAACCAATTTATTTGGTAGCAGTGGAAAAAATGCCCCTTACATTGGTGGGAAGTATGAAGAATGCCCCTCTTACAGTAATGGTCAGAATGACAACTTTACAGACAGCTGAAAAGGTCATTGGTGACATACAACTGGCTCTACCAAGTGGCCTTGACCTCAGAACTATGCTGGTACCATCAAGTGGGAGGTCAACTATCTATAGTTCAAGGAACCTCTAGCAATCTCTGGAAGAACCATTGGGTTCCACAGAAACCAAGGCTGCTCTGGGAGGTGAGAGAAGGAGCATTGCTGTGGGAATATATGGGAAATCCAGTGACTGCAAAACTCAGATAAAATCAGCCCACCATAGCAGTACCAGGAAAACATGGCAGCCCTATAAATATTCAATGGTTCAGTAGAGAACTATGCCCACCCCACCCAAAGTAGAAAAGTAGCTTGTTTCTGAATTTCCTCCATCAGGTTTAGGTTAGGTCAAGGTCATAGACCTTACATACAGAAGAGGGAAAGATAACCTTGTCATTGGGTTTGATGTTTAGAGATGAGAGGTAGGCGCTTCGTACTTGGGATCCTTCCCATTTATACAGCATATCAGGATCTTGCGTGTGGTCAGGTGTCGCCCCCCTTGGACAGTCTGCCGATCTGTGATCACATGTGTCTCTGGAAGATAAAAAATTAATTTCAATACGCACAGGAACAAAAACCATCTCCGTAAGTCAAATGATACACTTCTAAGATCTTGTCCCTTGTTATACTTATACTGACCAAAGAGGAGATAAAACACTGTCTCCAGTGCTAAGTGGACACAACTGCATCTTTACAGCTACAATCACTATTATGATTAGGGTTAAACTGAGTCCCTACCCAGACCCATTACAGCAGGACTTTGTGAAGTACTGTAGGGACTTTATACCAGAGCAAAAAAAAGTCTAACAACCCATTTCTGGGACCTTGCTGGAAATAGATGCACTTTGTGTGAGATCTGCTGTACTTGTTGTTCCAAAAAGGTGATCCCCCAATCTCTCTCCCATCTGTTGATATATGGGAGGCAGGGTGGCCTGGTGGGTTTGACAGCATAGAGAATGAGATGGAAGGATAGGCCATGTCAGATAGGGGAGGGGTCATCGCATAAGGTTTCAAACTCAGTCAGAGGGGGGTAATAATTGATGTTTCCCCAACATTTGGGTAGGAAAATGCTGAACTTGTAGCACAATCCACAAGGGCAGTGGAGGGTCAGTTGAGATTTGAATTTCTGGAAGCCACCTATAGCTATGAGACGAATATAAATGTTACAGGCAATCAGGAAGAAAGGTACAGTGAAGAATTCCAGGCTGGAACCTGAGATTCCCTACCAGAAAAGTCGGAAGGGACAGGGATTGGTCACTTTGAATGTGCCCTCTCTTAGAACAGAACAATTTAAGGGTTGTGCCAATCAGTGGGTGGCATAAAAGAGAATGGGGCTCTGCTCCCTGAGCCAAGAGAAATCTGAGTGGATGAATCATAATAGTTGAAGTCAACACTTGCTAGCTTCATGTTTCCACCAGTCCAAGATCCTGGCCATATGTATGGCTCTCCAAAAGAACAAACGAAACCAACGCTCAAATCTTCATGCAGACTAACAGGAATTCTGAATGTCAAACATTGAGGTGAAGCCCTTCAGAGATCGGGAAGTCTAGGTACTGGTGAACCGAAACTCACAAACCAAAAGGGAATAAAAACAGAGCAGGTAGTCCGTAAAGACAGTCCAATGGAATAATTCAAGCCTGTCCCATCAAGGGTGTATTATTCCATTGGACTGTCTTTATGGACTACCTGCTCTGTTTTTATTCCCTTTTGGTTTGTGAGTATATATCTATAGTTTTGATTAAATACGTGGTGTACCACGATAATGCACGATGAGAGTGCGCCCTTGTTTGTTTTTGTTCACCATTCATATGTATGGCTCTGTGGTAATGGAAAGGATCCCCTCTCCATTTGAATTGAGCCATAAGAATACGGAACAATATGTGGAATTTTGGAGCCCAATAAAAAAATTGCAAAACTCACTGTGAGCCTGTCTGAGAATCATCACAGAAAAGGCTTGGAAAAGACAAAGCAGTCAAGACAGAATATTTATGCTGAAGATATTGTTCCCCTTAAACGATGAAAATGAATCTGAACTCCATCCCCTGAAGTCTTGTCTAATTTTAGTCGGAAAGGGGGGATTGACAAAAAATACATCCCTGAGCAGGGGCGGACTGACCATTTGGAAACTCGGGCACTGCCCGAGTGCCCGGGGTCAGTAGGGGGCCCCATGAGATGCCCCTGGTACCTTTTTCATAGGCTTTTTTGAGTTTGGTCAAGGACACAGGGGCCCCATGATCCCCTATTGCCCAGGGGCCCCATGAGTTGTCAGTCCACCCCTGTCCCTGAGTGATAAGATACCCACATAATATGGTGTTGGGCCCACTTGACAGGAAAGTGGGGTTTAAGACCATGCTGACCCTGCCGACCTTTGTGAACTGGCCGCTCTTGCGCAGTAGCTTTCCATAGGATTCTATGGGATTCCCTGCCTCAGGAGACAATAGCAGGGAGAACAAACGTCTGGAAAAGGGGAGGGACAGTAGGTTAGCACAGCTGAGGCGAGGGCAAAAAGGATAAGTGTGCTTTATCCTTTAAATGCAGAGATTTGTAGATTTGCCACAAAAGGCAAAGTAGAATAGGTACTAAAATGATTCTGCCTAACTGTGCAACTGCTGTTACAATATCACCTAGCCAGGGAACGCACCTATTTAGCCTCCTCGGCGGTATGATTATTTCCGATTTTTTGTGCTGAAAGCGGTACCATTATTTTGCATGGAAATATGTAGTTTTTTATTGTAGGCTGTAATTTTTAGGAATAACTCACTGTAATCTGTCCAAACAAGAGTCTAGTAAACATCCCGGGTATGATAAAACTTGAAACACGAAATCATAAATTATAATTTAATAAATAATCATAAAAAATAATAATATAATAATAAAATTTAATTCAATAATATAATCAAACCAAAAACACTGAAATTTGAAATACAGAGGCAAATTCGCACATCGCTGAGCAAAGTCGCAAAATCGTTTTCAGTGTCTGATGACGAATTTCCCCACAAAATCATTATCACTCAATTCTGCAAGTGGTTCTGATTTACTATCGCTGTTCTCTAGCTGGTCTAAAACCGATTTTGACCTAAAGGGACGCTTTTCAGACACCATGGACGTTTCTCAGTTTCCAGGCAGAAAGAACAGTAAAAATGCAGGCAGGGCGCAGGACAAAGCACTCGGGACAAAATGTATGTGAAATGCATTGAAACAGCAATGTTTTACTATGTAATAATCATTTTAAAAAAAATGAAATTTTTTAAAAATGTCAAATTTGCCGCTGGTTCTGGCGCCCGTACGTCTCAACGTCACAGGGACCGGAACACGGAAGCCGGATGCCGGCATTGGCCGGAGGAGATGGCCGGGGACGCTGCAGGGGACGCATCGTGGGAGCGAAGGACAAGGTAAGTGCTGCAGGGACTCCTTGAGCAATGCCGCAGGGTAAGCCCGAGTGTAGCTTGGGGTTACCTCTCTTGTACTCAAATTTTACCCCGAGCTACACTCGGGAATACCACTAAGGAGGTTAATGAGTTGCCTGGCTCATAGATTTACATTGAGAGGAGAAACAGTCAGGCACAACCACTGTTCAGCACTGCAAAGCAAGAAGCAGAACCTGCATATGTAAGGGTAAATATTACTGCCATACATAAAAAGTTACTGCATCTATTAAAAAAAATTACCTTTTTTATTATATCGTATGAAAACATTTCCATTAGGCATGTGCATGCCGGAAATTGTTTTGTTTCAGATGCATTCATTCATTGAAGAATTTCGTTTCATCACATTTATTATGTTGAATCGTTTCAATTTTGGAATTAGTTTTTGTCTTTGGCATTTGTTTAGTAAATTTGTTGGTCTGGGTGGATTCAAAAAATTTTGCAGTTTTTTTGGAAGATTGCTATATATTCGATAAATTAGCGAATTGGACGTATTTAAATTGGAAGGATTCAATATTTTCAGACGCCAAGAGAAATAGCATGAGCTGGCTGGACAATATTGCTTGGTGTCATGTGCATCTGAATTAACGAATGGAATGAAATTTGGCTTAATTTGTCATTGAATTATTTTAAATTCAAAAATTTAATTAATTACCCCATGGGCCTGAACTACTATCGCATCATGTGATGTCATCCGAATGAAACCAATGCATTTGTTAATTTCGTTATCACGCTTTTTCGGATTCGTTGACATTCATTACTTTGTCCATTTGGAGATTCATATACATCCGAATCTCTGAAAATGACATTTTTTAATCCGAAAAACAAATCCTAGCCAAATGCACAAGTCTAACTATCATTGATCAAATTGTAGCACCCTCATAGTTTAGCTAGGGGGAGCTTGAGTCCTGATTGTCAATGAGGAAGGCTGAGTAGCAGCCTGGGTGTAATAAGGGCAGATCTTGGTCAGGAGCTGAGAGGCTCTGCAGGGCAGCCCCTCTGGAATTTTCCCCGCTCTAGGGCTTTGGAGGAAGGCCTTAGAGGCAGTGGGTGGATCTGAGGAGTGGCTGGCTTTCACTCTTGAAAGGTGCTAGCCAATCCCCAAAAGAAGGCTTTGCAAGGGGCTGGACACCCTTAAAAGTGTTGGAGCCTGCTCAGCTGCAGTAGAGTTGGGGTGGAAGATAGTAAGGAAGATGTGAGGCTGAAGGCAGGAGGCTACAAGGAGGCCCATGGGATGGGGTTTACCTGCAGGCCTGGAGCTGGAAAGGGAGAAGCTCAGAGACTCACTGGCCACCAGAGCAAGGACCACCTGTATGGCAGGGAAAGTGTGGCCCAGCTGCAAGGCCTGGAAGCAGCCACCAACCCACCAGCGGTGCATTAGAGAATCTGAGTGAGTACCCCTGCACCCCCTGGGTGGATAGGGGAAAGAGCACTCTGGTAGGAAACCAGATTAGCCCACCAATAGTGACTATTCACCCATTTAAAGAAACATGAGCCAGATCCCCTGTTCAGGGATACCTCCAGATTGCTGGGTGAAGAGGAGAGGTTCATCTGGGGTCTGGGGTGGTACATTGGGAGAGGCTGACTAGCTCTCCATCAGAGACTGCAGCAATGGCCTATAAATAGTTCCAGTAAGTTGTCCTCAGTTTATCGGTTTCCTTGGGCATCCTGTACACCCCTAACCCTATCCCAGTTCAATTCCCCTAAATAAAACAACAAAACCAAAGCTCAAGGACTGATTTCTGACTCTGGATGCAAGTCTTGGTGAAGATGTGTGAAGCCTGGCTGTGCAGGACTATAGGGGGACCCAAATCTTCTAATGACTCCTAAGGGGGTAGTGCTATAGAATTATTTATATCAAGCTCATCTCTGTTGCATGTATATATACAGTACATCCCCTTTAAGTGTTTTCAGGTAAATGTTCTATTGCTATTCATAAGCGGGCCCCCAACTCCACACAGTTATTATTATACATTATTTTCTATAACATATTCTGTAGCCCCGTACAACAAACATTAACATGCTTGTTTTGAGCATGCCTTGCTTGTGTACGTCAGGTGCATTGTCATGCATTTTACTGCATCATGTAGATTCATGGACATGAGAAATGCATTGCTTTTAAAAGAGCCTGTTCACACCAACATGCTGCATTGCAGTGCATTAGAAAAAAAAAGGTTCAGCAAGCTGCTGTTTGGTTGGATTGACCTGCATTGTGCCATTCAAGTCAATTCAAATGATTTTTTTTCTAAAAACACACTGGGATTGATCTACTGAAGGCCCATAGACCGTGCTTTTTGCACTCATTTTCCCTGGAGCTTAGTAAATGTGGTGAAGCTCTGCTGATTTCCATCATCCAGTCATGTGCAAAGAAGATTGTGGGTTTTTTTGCCTTGCACCTACTTGGGTATTTTTACATTGTGAAGCTTCGCTATATTACATTTACTAAGGAAAATGAGTGCAACTACACTTGAAAAGTGCAAAGTTTATTTGCCTTTAGTAAATCAACATTGTCAGCAAACATTCCGATATTCCCTTTAAGAACAAAATTCTTCCATCTCCACCCTACCCCCTGAATACACAGAGCACCCTTCTCCCTCCACACAAACAAGTCCATATTTACCTCCTCCGAGGGCTGCGATCTCCACCAATGTTCCATATACTTGAATAGAACTTTGCTCCTCCATAACGGAGCTGTTTTACCTGCCAAAGGATTTTTTTTTTTGGACCACCAGTCTTGAGAATTACACAGCTCTGCAACGCAACACAGCCTGCTTGTTAATTTCGTTATCACGCTTTTTCGGATTCGTTGACATTCATTACTTTGTCCATTTGGAGATTCATATACATCCGAATCTCTGAAAATGACATTTTTTAATCCGAAAAACGAATCCTAGCGAAGACAGAAGACCTGTTCAGTAAAAGGAGAAGCAGCAGACTGATGAGCTGATCAGTCTTGTCGGTCCTCCTATCAGCATGCTCCTTGTTAGTACATAAGCACTGTACATGACAGCTGACAGGTTCCTTGCACTGCTTCTTCCCCTCCCAGCCTGAGCTCTGCTGTACAGAAAATGCACCAAGCTGATATCATGTTCAATTCAAGTTCTCATGCTGCTTGCACTTACACAAGTATATTTATGATGTATTAGGCTGCTTTCACACTGATCCCTTTTTCTTCCGTTTTTGCTTTAAATAAAAGCAGAAGAAAAATGCATGACCATTAAAACTTATAGAACTCCTCACACTGGTCAGTTGCGTTTCTTTGCATTTTTAAAGTCTTACTTGCTGCATTTTTTATGCATGGTTGGTGCGGGGAAAAAAACTCCCCAAAAACGCACCTCTCCATTGAAATGAATGGAAAGCATATCAAAAACAAGACAAAAATGCATCAAAAACGCACCCGCATTTTTTGTCACATTTTTTTTTCATAGCTGTAGAAACACACCGGAAATGTGGAAAAAAAACACATTCGTTATATCTGGTCTCCCACAGTACACAGAACATGGAAATGCAATTATTTTAGTAAATATAAACTGCTACATACCTTTTCTGATTAGCAGTATACAACAGTCTTGTGACTTCTATCAGTGTCCAGCAGAGCACTGGTTAAAGCTTGTAGAAGGAGTTTTCATTTTCCCCTGATTGTCCTATGAGGCTGCATGACCCCTGACCCTCTGTCTGTAGAGTGCTGATTGGCCCTTGGCTGATCACATGCCCTCTCCCGAGAAAAAAAAAATAAAAACTCTCTAGCAATACATACCAAACTGAACATGTTCAGCTTGCCCCCAAGGCTCTGTTCTATCAGCAGATGAATTGGGGATAGTAGAAGAAGGGGAGGATCAAAGAAGACAGGACCAAACATCTTTTTTACACGATGCAGAGAATTAACCCCTTAGGTTGAGTAAACAAGCATGCTTTACTGCATATACAGACTGATTTTATTGTTGTGGGTTTAGTAACACTTTAAAGCCTGCACTTCATGGTTAACTGCTCATTTGTCGAGGGGCTCAGGGATAAGCCATTCCTACCTCGTCCTCCTATCCTCCATGTAATGATTATGCGCAATAGAGACATGGAAGCTGTATTCGACAGCCATCTTGTTATGGTCTCATCTATTATGGTTTCTTGAGTAGTGTTCCTATTCTTCCCCCCACCCTTTGCAAACTATGGAATTTGTAGCCGTAACTTGTAGTGAACTTCAAAAGAGCCTCTTATCTTAATTAAAACACAAATAGATGCAGCTCCAGAGCTGTAAACTGCTAATTAGTCTTGACCAGGGGCGGACTGACCATTTGGAAACTGGGGCACTACCCGAGGGCCCGAGGTCAGTAGGGGGCCGCATGAGATGCTCCTGGTAACTTTTTCACAGGCTTTTTTGAGTTTGGGCAAGGACACAGGGGCCCCATGATCCCCTAATGCCCGGGGGCCCCATGAGTTGTCAGTCCACCCCTGGCCTTGACAGGATGTCTATTTTTCAGGAGCCATGAAAACCACTTTCCTCTGCCCCATCATAAAACAATAACTCAGTCCAGCCCTCACATATGACCTGTTAGGCCATTAGAGCTTTCGGGGTTGTGGCCATCATGGTGATGTATTGCATATCTGGTGGTCATGCCCGAGACTGATTAGTTTTTGGTCTCGTGTGTTTGACCTCCTTTTTACCTTGTTCCATCTCCCCATACGCCAGGATGCTCGGTATGTTTTGCTTCATTGTCCCATACTGGGCCTCTTGGCTCACCAGCAGAAGTTGGCTTCCTATTTGTTTTTGTCAGCCAATAGAACAATTGGTCAGGCATAGAAGTGCCCGTTTGTCTCTTTCAAGGGATGACCACTATGATGCTTAATGAACAGATGTTGAATATTTGTAATGACTTCCAACGGAAATTTTTGAAAATATGTGAGCCATGGTTGCAATATGCCCTTCCCATGCTCCCCTTGGCTAGTCTGGGGTTGTGATGTTGCTCGGTATTGGCGTTCCCGAACCACTGCTCATGGCCTTGTCATCTTTTTCCTTTTGTACTCCTCCTTCCTTTTCTATTTCTTTTTGTTTTTGATGTGGCAGTGGATAGCTGCCTTTGGTTTGAGTTACTGTCGATGGTATACCAATGTTTTTGTCATTTATGTGCCATTGATAGCCCCTGCATGGGTGCTGCTTTTGCTCTCTTGGTGTTAGAGCACTGTTTTCTTTATTTTTTTATGTGCAATTGATGGCCTCTGCATGGGCGTGTTTTGCTGCTCCTGTTTTTTTTAATAAAAATCTTTGAAATACAAAAGCCAAAAACAGCCGCTGTAAAAACGTCCAGTGTGCATGAGGATTTAAGGCTAAATCCACCATTCCGACCATGTTCATAATACACCCATATTCAGGGAGTATCATATTAACATGGTCACCCTCTGTAGCGTAGCCCCCACTGCTAAATCACCACCACCACATAACTTACTGAATTCAGGGATTTTTCTGATCACAGGCTTCTAATTTGTGTCCTTTAATACGTATATGTTTAGGATTGGGCTTGAAATACATGGATATGAGGAAATCCATTGAGATTGCAATAGGCCCTGGTCACCCCAATGGGCTTTATTAAGGTTTGTTGGGAAAGGTTCTACATTTGCATTTTACGTAAGTATTGGACAGTTCTTTGAAAGCCCACTGAATAGGGTCCTTTAAAACACATATGAGACGTCTGAAAGGCCACGCATGAACACAACAATACAGAGTCCATATTTAACCGAAATCCCCATACAGGTGTGTCTTACCTGGTATTAGTCTGCCTGTGTCCCTGCAATCCAATGTCATGTAATAATGACTCCAGTGGTTTTATGTCTTCTTCTGTGTGTGGATGGGATATTGGAGGAAAACAATGTTCAAATATGTGTCCAACACTGCTCTGCAACATGAACAGAAGACATTGTAACCAATATTACACGTGTATATCAGATTGCGGTGTATACAGAGGGTCCTCTGGGTGGCTGAAATACTTTTTTTTTCTTTAAGGGCTCATGTACACTGCAACTCCTAAACTGATGTTCAGGACCTGTTGAGCGTTTTTTTCAGCAGCCCCTGAACTCTCCCTAATGTTTTCCTATGTGTCCATGTACACACAGTCACTTACAGGCAGTTGAGTTTACAGTCATTTTTTAGAACGCACCAAACTTGCGTTCAGGAGTAGATTTTACTGGCGTTTCAAATGCCAAACATTTGTAAACGTGGTTAACCGCCTTTATAAGCGTTTGCGTTTAGAAGTGTTTATTAACTGTACCATATCCAGACGCTGTCCAGAGCCTTTTTTCATCATCAGAAATGCATGCAAAGTGTTTTCCATGTATTCAAATGGACCCGGTACACCAGCGCAGTCAGTTCCAGGTTTCGCGTGATGGAAAAAAATGGTAAGAACGTGCTGCATTATGCTCATGATGGGATCTATAGTGAATACAACCAGAAAAGACAGCTAATCTCAACACATACTGCTCTCTTTGCTTCTGCTCTCTCTATTCCTCTCAAAATGTCTGAATAAGTACATTTTTTACTATTTTTCAGTGCATTCTGGGCATTTGGAAGGTCTCCTGAGGTTATCTTTTAAAAACGCTTCTAAACGCAAATGCGCATAAACGCGGTATGCAAACACGGCTAAACTGATGTTTTTAACCTACATATTCCGGCAGTCAGTTTCCATCGTTCAGAAGAGTTTTCAAACGCCCCGTGTACATGAGCCCTAAGACTGAAAAAGGGATAAAGACAACTTTGTCAATAATTTAAAAAAAATCTTCATTCTAGAAAGAAAAAAATAATAGTCAGCAGCTACAAATACTGTAGCTGCTGACTTTTAATAAAAGGACATTACCTGTCCAGGGATCCAGCACCATCCTCACCTGGGGCAGTTCTTCTCCGGTCTTCAGGTCCCCGGCCCTGGTATGTTTACTAAGGAAGGCAAGACTCTTTGTGGCTTCACAGCCGGCTTCCCACTTCGCACTGCGCTGTGTGAAAGGTCCTGCAGCCTTCTGGGACCTGTGATGTGTCCCAGAAGGCTACGGGCAAAGAGAGGGGGGCCTCACCTTGGCAATCCAGGCAGAAGTGGGAGCTGGTACCTGTCAAAACCAGATACCTGCCCCCCCACCCCCCAAAACACTAAAATGCCAGACGTTGAAGAGGATGGGGGAGGGGGGGGGGTGAAGCGGAATTTCCTCTTTTAGGTGAACTTCTGCTTTAAAAGCAATTTAAAATAGCATCAAAGTCAGTCAGGCATTTTCTGGTATGCTTTTCTTCTGATTTAGGTGTTGGTTCACACTGATTTGGTATGATTCGGACAGGATTCGCACCTCATTCCTGTTAAAATCACATGCGATTCTTTGCAGTGCGATTTGAGCCCACTCATTTTGTATGCCTCAAATTGCCCAGCACCTGCACAAAAAAGGTGCATGCACCTTTTTAGCTGCACTAGAATCGGATCGCATAGGTGTTTTATGCCCATGCGATCCAATTCAGCCAATCGCACTGCATTTTGCCAACTGTTTTTGGGGTGTTGTTAACTTATTGTCTTTGCTAAAAAAAATCCCAATACATGTAAATTAATTAGTTTAAGTGAAATTTCTAGCATCTATAAATGGCGGTATATATATACTGGAATTTGTTTTTGTTAATAGTAATGGCAGCGATCAGTGACTTGTAGCGGGACTGCAGGATTTGTGGCAGGCATTCTGACTCTGGGGGGGGAACTGACTTTGTGTCATTGACATCACCAGTGACACTAATACAGTGATCAGTGCTAATAAAAAGCACTGACACTGGGCAGGAAGGGGTTAACATCCTGGGCGATCAAAGGGTTAACTGTGTGCTGTTTGCTGTTTTACTTTGTGCTATGTGTGTGCTTTCCACTGTAAGCACACTGCTTTGTATGGCTCAGCTATGCAGAGTCATACAAAGCAGTGTGCAGGAGCTGACAGGGGAGAGATCTGTGTTGTTTATACACAGGTCTCTCCCCCGTCGGTAATACTCTGTGATTGCCGGGTGACGGTGGGAAATTACCAGCCGGGACCCGGTGATTGACAGTTGAGGCCACGAATGGGTAGGGCTTGCGCGTGCCCCCTACCTGGAAAGGCAAAACAGTTATACATGATCAGGGGTGGACTGACCATTTGGAAACTCGGGCACTGCCCGAGGGCCCGGGGTGAGTAGGGGGCCCCATGAGATGCCCCTGATACCTTTTTTTATAGGCTTTTTTGAGTTTGGGCAAGGACACAGGGGGCTCATGATCCCCTATTGTCCGGGGGCCCCATGAGTTGTCAGTCCGCCCCTGCATGATTTTGCACACCTGTGCCGCCCTATAGCAATACTCAGGAACCGACTATCTCCTACTCTTTCCACTTTTAGGCAATCCCTGAAAATCGTTCTCTAATGGGAAATCCATCCTGCCTCTGCCTAACAACTACTTTTATTTTCTCCATCAGCTCATCCCACATTTATTATCTTTAGTATCACCTGACCTTCCCTTTTTGTACGTTTTAAGGACCCTCTGATTCTGTATTGAATTGTGATGTAACTGTATTGTTCGCTTTCACGTTGGGCAAACTGTTGTCGCTATATAAATCCTGTATAATAATATTAACCGCTTCCCGTCCACCCTATATCATAAATACTGCGACAGGGCAGCACGGGTGCACAAAATCACACATATATATATATATATATATATATATATATATATATATACACGTGATTTAGCAGTTCCGGGTAGGGCCGTGGCCTCAGCTGTCAATCACTGGGTCCCGGCCGGTGATTACTCACCAGCACCCGGTGATCGCCGAGTATTACCGACGGGGGAGAGAACTGTATTTAACAGGTTCCCACCTGGCCTATAGCCTATGGCGGCCTGCAAAACCCCTCATCCCTCTGGGTGGACGCCATATGGCGTCCTTTTGGGCATGCACAGTTTGCATGCCCGCAGAGCCACGCAGCGGCGCAATCTGTTACTGGCCATGTACCTCGGACACGGCCGATGACAGATCTGAGTACCGGCCCCGTTGCCAGTACCATGTGTCCTGCTGTGACCAATCACAGTAAGTCACATGACAGTTGTATACAATGGATGGCTTCATTGTATGCTAGTGTGGCTAGCTGTGAATGGTCACAGTGATCACGTGCTCAAGCTGGGCCAATCACAGCCCAGCTGTGTCATGTGATTAGCCATGGCCAAATCACAGCTAAGCACAAAAAAAAAATAAAACCCTGAATGAATCGATGTCATTCAGGTAAATGCTTGCTTATAGCAAAGTAATTCTTTGCTATAAGCAAATTGTGTAAAAAAAAAATACTGATCACTTCCCCAAAGTAGTACAATGTTACTATGGTAACATTTTACTACTTTGGTCATAGTGAAATATGAAAAACAAATCTTAAAAAAAGAAACAAAATGTAATAAAAAATTAAAAATAATAAAATTAAAAAAAAAAAAATTTTTTTTTTTCATACTGTCACCAGTCAGTGTCCCTGATCACCGCCATGCCAGTTATATGATGACGCTGTACTGCACTGGTGACAGTATGTAAAAAAAAAAAAAAAATAGTGAAAATAATTTTTTTAATTTTTTAATTTTCCGAAAAATTATGACAAAAAAAATACAACTTCAAAAAACTCGCCATGCCTCTTATGAAGTACGTCGGACTGTCTACTCTGCAAAAAGGGGTCATTTGGGGGATATCTGTACTGTTCTGACATTCTTGGACCTCAAGAAATTAGATTGGCCGTCAGTACTTCAGGATTGATCAATATTCAGATCTATACCATAGTTTGTGAACTCTATAACTTTCCTACAAACTAAATAATACATCCTAATTTGGGTTATTTTCACCAAAGACATGTAGCAGAATCAGGGGCGGACTGACCATTTGGCAACTCGGGCACTGCCCGAGGGCCCAGGGTCAGTAGGGTGCCCCATGAGATGCCCCTGGTACCTTTTTCATAGGCTTTTTTCAGTTTGGGCAAGGACACAGGGGCCCCATGATCCCCTATTGCCCGGGGGCCCCATGAGTTGTCAGTCCGCCCCTTAGCAGAATACATCTTGGCCTAAATTTATGAAGAACAATTATTTATTTGCAAACTTTTATAACAGAAACAAAGTTTAAAAATTTTGGGGCTTTTTTTGTTAATTTAGCAAAAAATAAAAACCCAGGCGGTGATTAAATACCGCCAAAAGAAAGCTCTAGTTGTGTGAATAAAATGATAAAATTTTAGTCTGGGTACAATGTTGTATGACTGCACAATTGTCATTCAAAGTGTGAGAGCGCTGAAACCTAAAAAAATGGCCTGGGCAGGAAAGGGGTAAAAGTGCCCGGTATGGAAGTGGTTAAACAATACAGTTCTCTCCCCTATCAGCTCCTGCACACTGCTTTATATGGCTCTGTACAGAGCCATACAAAGCGGTGTGGTTACAGTGAAGCACACACACAACACCTAATGTGAAACAGCACACAGTTAACCCTTTGATCACCCCAGATGCTGACCGCTTCCTGCCCAGTGCCATTAGTACAGTGTCAGTGCTTTTTATTAGCACTGATCACTGTATTGGTGTCACTGGGGATGTTAGTGACACCAAGTCACTTCCCCCCAGTGTCAGAATGCCTGCCTCAGTCCCGCATTTCCTCAGTCCTGCTATAAGTTGCTGATCGCCGCCATCACTAGTGAAAAAAAAAAAAAAAATTCCAGTATATATACCGCCATTTGTAGATTTGTAGACAATATAACTTTCACGTAAACCAATTAACTTATACGTATTGGGATTTTTTTTGCAAAGACATGTAGCAGAATACATTTTTGCCTAAATTTATGAAGAAATTTGATTTTTTTAAATGTTTTACTGGACATGTTTAATAGCAAAAAGTAAAAAATATATATTTTTTTCTGAAAATCCGTGATCATGCATTGTTGGCTTTTTTATGCTACGCATACACTAAGCACAACAGGGGTGGATGGACTGAAGAGTAATCACTTTGGCAAATTAACTCTTTCATATACTATGTGTTCCAGCCTTCTATTTAACAGTTTGGCTGGAGTTCCCCTTTAAATAAAAAGACATGCACACCAATGTGTCTATACATCATTATGTAGCTATGTGTTAGTTCCCCACAAATTACTCCTTTTCATATTAGTTGTCTTAAAGCGTTACTAAACCCCGGACCCTGCATTCACTATATCTGGTCTCCCCGGACCCTGCATTCACTATATCTGGTCTCCCCGGGACCCTGCATTCACTATATCTGGTCTCCCAGGACCCTGCATTCACTATATCTGCTCTCCCCGGACCCTGCATTCACTATATCTGGTCTCCACAGACCCTGCATTCACTTTATCTGGTCTCCCCGGACCCTGCATTCACTATATCTGGTCTCCCAGGATCCTGCATTCACTATATCTGGTCTCCCAGGACCCTGCATTCACTATATCTGGTCTCCGTGGATCCTGCATTCACTATATCTGGTCTTCCAGGACCCTACATTTACTATATCTGGTCTCCCTGGACCCTGCATTCACTATATCCGATCTCCCCAGACCCTGCATTCACTATATCTGGTCTCCCCAGACCCTGCATTCACTATATCTGGTCTCCCCAGACCCTGCATTCACTATATCTGGTCTCCCCAGACCCTGCATTCACCATATCTGGTCTACCCGAACCCTGCATTCACTATATATGATCTCCCCGGACCCTGCATTCACTATAACTGATCTCCCCAGACCCTGCATTCACTATATCTGGTCTCCCCAGACCCTGCATTCACTATATCTGGTCTACCCGGACCCTGCATTCATTATATCTGGTCTCCCAGGACCCTGCATTCACTATATCTGGTCTCCCCGGACCCTGCATTCACTATATCTGGTCTCCCCGGACCCTGCATTCACTATATCTGGTCTCCCCGGACCCTGCTCTCTGGTCTCCCCAGTACATACAACATGGAAATTTAATTATTTTTAGTAACTATAAACTGCTAAATACCTTTTTTCATCAGCAGTATATAGCAGTCTTGTGACTTCTATCAGTGTCTGGCAGAGCATTATTTAAAGCTTGTAGAAGGAGTTTTCTTTGGACCCCTGAACCTCTGTCTGGACAGTGCTGATTGGCCTTTGGCTGATTACATGTACCCTCCAAAGAAAAAAAAAACCTCTCTAGCAATACACACCAAAGTGAGCATGTGCAGCTTGCCCCCAAGGCTCTGTTCTATCAGGAGATGGATTGGGGACAATAGAAGAAGGGGAGTATCAGAGAAGTCAGGATCAAACAGCCTTTTTACACAATGTGTAGGATTAACCCCTTAGGCTCCACAATGAGTATGCCAAGCATGCTTTACTGCATATACAGACTGATTTTACTGTTTTGGGTTTTGTAACACGTTAATGGTTCAGGAATAAACTGGCTGATTATAAGCTGATATTGATAGCTTACTTTGTTTGGAGAATGTTCTCTTGTGCAGAGTGTTGTGCTGCTTTCACACCACCATCGACCACCACATTGTGTTAAGAGTCCTTCCTGATTATCGCTATGCGATTCCTCGCTGTCTCTGAAGGCCACCCAGCTGTCTGTGAACAGAAGAAACAGAAAATTCCTTTTGAGCATTTTACATCTTTTTAAATAAATTTATTTTTGATTGGTTGGGAATTTTTGCCCTCATACCTTTTTCTCATTCTTGAATGCAGCTGGTCTACTACAGCAGCCTTTCTTTTACCCCAAAGGAACCCTTGAAATAATTTTAATTCATTGGGAAGAATGCCCCTTACATTGGTGGTCAGTGGGAAGAATGCCCCTTACATTGGTGGTCACTGGAAAGAATGCCCCTTACATTGGTGGTCAGTGGGAAGAATGCCCTTTACATTGGTGGTCACTGGGAAGAATGCCCCTTACATTGCCGGTCAGTGGGAAGAATGCCCCTTACATTGGTGGTCAGTGGGAAGAATGCTCCTTACATTGGCGGTCAGTGGGTAGAATGCCCCTTACATTGGCGGCCAGTGGGAAGGATGCCCCTTACAATGGCGGTCAGTGGGTAGAGTGCCCCTTACATTGGCGGCCAGTGGGAAGGATGCCCCTTACATTGGCGGTCAGTGGGAAGAATGCCCCCTACATTGGCGGTCAGTGGGAAGAATGCCTCTTACATTGGCGGTCAGTGGGAAGAATGCCCCTTACATTTGCGGTCATTGGGAAGAATGCCCCTTAAATTGGCAGTCAGTGGGAAGAATGCCCCTTAAATTGGCAGTCAGTGGGTAGAATGCCCCTTACATTGGCGGCCAGTAGGAAGAATGCCCCTTACATTGGTGGTCAGTGGGCCTACCTATCGAGTCAACTACTGTAGGTTGTTTCTGGTTTGTAGACTGCACTCTTACCCACTGCACTAGAGGCTAACCCCCAACACATCTGCACCACCTTTTTGTGGTCATTACAAAGCCATATGATGTGTTCATGCTTACTAGATTCTCCATTGTATAGCCTATACAAATACAGTAAATGGTTGGCCCTCTTTGATAGTGATACAGATTATGGGTAAGACACCAACTACTGTTCTGCTCACTGTTCTTCTTGCTGGTGAGAAAGCTGTAACTGAGGACACACAACCCCCTGAAGACCTGTGAGGAGTTGGTGCCTATCTGCCTATACTTCCTCTGCTGGGACCACTGCCTGCTGGTGAGTCCCTGAATTGCTACCCTGTGCCAAGGACTTTGCCCCGTGTGCTGGACTTAACCCTATTCTGCCCAGAACCCTATCCCCTGTGTGCTGGACTTAACAATTTTCTGCCAGGAACCCTTTGCCCCATGTGCTGGACTTAACCCTATTCTGCCTGGAAACCCTTTGCCCTGTGTGGCAGCAGCAGAGCAGACCCTGACCTGTCATCAACCTGCTCAGTGGGGATCAGTCTAGAGATCCTCCACTGATCAAGGGGATCCACTGACAGGTGTGTCCCATCTGAAAGGGGCCTAAAGGCCGATGAGGTGCATTCCATCTCATGGACTTATCTTTAATTTACATCTGACATTTTTATGGAGCTCTGGGAATACAGCTATTGCTATGCTCCTGGAGCTCTGGCAGGAGATACACTGTTCTTTCATACAGCAGCCACTCATTCCTGCCCCTCCCCTGTCTATTCAGAGTAGCCTTTGTAATTTGTGAATGAGTTCACATAACACAAAGTGCTGTGTGATTGGACAGGAGGAGGGGAGGGGTGGGCACAATGGCTGCATCAGACTCTGTAGTTGCTGGAGCCAGGACCAGAAGGTCCAGTGTCTGAGCATCAGCAGTGTAGTGAGAGCTACGCTCCAGGTACATCATAAAAATATAAATTGTAAATTAAAGAGGTAAGTCCAGGATGTGGTATGCACCTCACTGTACTAAACACCTAGTAACCCAGAACATTCCTAGAGTTCAGTTTTCACCTTTGAATCAGTTAGCTAAATAAACTTTTCCTGCTCTGGGCACCAGGGAACATAGCACAGCATTCAGAAGCATGTTCCAAGCACCTCTTTTACAGCTAAACTTTTAAAGGGAAAACAAACCTACTTATTCATTAAAAAAGTGTAAAATATGAATAAAAACACAACAGTTTTTGACAAGCCCTTTATATTTAAAAAAAAGCCAAAAAAATGGTTCCATCATTGCAATCCATTGTCAGTCATGGCATCCAGCATTGTCACAACGACGACGACTTGCCGAAATTTAAAAAAAAACCCTGAGGCCCGCCGACTCGTCCACACCCTGCGAGCACTCAATATTTGCCAGTCAGATGTAAACAATTGGGCAGAGCTAGCAGTGATGTCACCTCCAGCTCCGCCCAAGTGTGCTGTGATTGGCCAAAGCACTGCTGCATTGTGCATTGTGCACAGTGCATTGTGGGGCGTAGTGGGCAAATAGCCCACTAAACGCCCTTACTGTATGTGTGTTCACCGAACACATGAACGGCCCATGTTCGAGTCGAATTTACGTTTGACTTGAACATCAAGACCATCACTACCTGGCAGCACCCACTATGCCAGTCCAGAGCCCGCAGATGGGTAAGCGAAGCCCAGGATACATGGTGGGGGTGCGCACGATACCAGGGGTGTGTGGAAGCAATTGGATGGCTGCGCAGCCACCAGAATGCTTCCTTTTGACAGCCAGAAGTTGGCCCTTTGTTTCAAAGGTTTGGAGACCCCTGCTTTAAAGGAACAATTAAAAAGGTAAGAAATATTTTTTTTCATTTTTTTAGGTGTGCCATTGTGGCAGCACCCACATATCGCAGAGTTCCCCTTAAGTTTTAACATTTCTAACAGCATCTGTTTGCAAACCAAGGTCATCAGCTCCCTTCCCCCTTCCCTTATTTCCTGTGGAGTAATGTGCTCCAGTCTGTAGCTGGTACCCTTATTTTCAGCTGAAGATAATTTATCTAGCAAGGCCATATTCTGCACTGCTTAGAAAGTCTTTTAAATGTACAGAAAGTGAAAGAGGAAATATATGCATTGTGATGTAATTGCTGATATGTATACCCTGTAAGATGCTTTTTCAAGGCACTTAGCTTTGCAGACGTTAGTCTGGCTAGGTCACCAGATGGTTAATAAAGCTTTGTTTTCCTCAAGTTCGTGTCTGGGGTTTTACCTGGAATTCCCAAAGTTGCCATTACACCATGTGAATGGGAACACATAACACTTAGGTTACATTCACATCCATGAGGGTGGTGCCACTGTGGGACCCGCATAAATACTAGCCGTCGCAACCACCCTCACAGAGAAATGCAGGACCCACGGGTGGGTGCCATTAATCCTAATGGCATGCCGCCTACACTGGAAATCACAACCATACAGGGACTTCGGTTCTCGCGGAGGCTGCAATTGATAAATAGTGCAGGGACTTCTTTTCTGCCTGTTCTGGGGCACTTGTGTCTGTGCAAATCGCAGTCCGCAGGGACACACAGGTGCGGATCTAGCCATAGTGAGGGGTTCTCAAATCCGACTGCAAAAAAGGAACTACACTTCAAGTACAGCGTTCCCTTCCTGCCCAAAGTAAATGTACACTATTCCTAGATAAATCCTGGATATTGATAGAGTAAAAAATCAGTCTGGAGTACAGAAATCTTTTAGAGGTTTTTTATTTTCCCCTGATTAATGAAAACATCTCCTATTTCTTATAGACAGGATCTCTGTGTATTATATACAGCATGTTATAAAACTAACAGCCGACAGCACAACCACCAGCTCAGGAATTTATATCCAGATTATAGAGAATTAAGAGGGCAAACCACAGGATTTGTATATTCTCTAGACTGTTGCTTAAAGTGATACTAAACACACACTATTTAATTTCCATTGTCCCTTCTCTTTCTGTATATGGATGACAACACTGTAATTATTTTATTAAAAAAAAACCCCAAACATCGAAGTACCTTTTTCCTAATCAATATACAGCGGTCACATGACCCAGCTCATTCCCAGCCTGTCTGCAGGGAAACATAGGCAGGAGGAGCTTCTAGTACTCTGCTACTGGTCACATGTTCAGAAAATAAAACAGCCTCTGGGATACAGAGTAAAAATAAATAATTCATATCAATAAACTGGTTTATATCATCATACAAATGTCTGCAGTGGATGTAAAAAGTCTACACACCCGTTAAAACGTCAGGTTTCTGTGATGTAAAAAAACGAGACAACGATAAATCGCTTCAGAACTTTTTCCACCTTTAATGTGACCTACAACTCTATTGAAAAACAAACTGAAATCTTTTTTGGGGGGGAAAGTAAACATAAAAAACTAAAATAATGTGGTTGCATAAGTGTGCACACCCTCTTATAACTGGGGATGTAGCTGTGTTCAGAATTAAGCAATCACATTCTAAATCAGGTTTAATAGGAGTCACTACACACCTGCTATCATCTAACCACTTGCCTACCGGGCACTTATACCCACTTCCTTACCAGGCCAATTTTCAGCTTTCAGCGCTGTTGCACTTTGATTGACAATTGCGCAGTCATGCAAGATTGTACCCATATGAAATTTTTATCATTTGTTTCTCACAAATAGAGCTTTCTTTTGGTGGTATTTAATCGCCGCTGGGCGCTTTACTTTTTGCGCTATAAACAAAAAATTTGAAAAAAAAAGTTTCTTTGTTTCTATTATAAAATTTTTCAAACAGGTAATTTTTCTTCTTCACTGATGTGCGTTGATGAGGCAGCACTGATGGGCACTAATATGCGGCACTGATGGGCACTGATAGGCAGCACTGAAGGGCACTGATAGGCAGCACTAATGAGGTGTCACGGATAGGCGGCACTGATAGGCAGCACTAATGAGGTGTCACGGATAGGCGGCACTGATATGCGGCATGATAGGCGACACTGATGATGGGTACTGATAGACAGCACTGATAGGTGGCACTGACTGGCAGCACTGCTGGGCACTGACTGCACAACCGCTGGGCACTGACTGGCAGCACTGCTGGGCTGCACTGATGGGCACTGGTGGGTGGGTGCCACTGGTGGGAACAGGTGGGTGGCAATGGTGGGTGGGCACAGGTGGGTGGCACTGGTGGGCACAGGTGGGTGGCACTGGTGGGCACAGGTGGGTG